AATTAGCTCATGTGCGTTGTCACACCGGGGTGACAGCATCAGACATAAGCACCGTATGTTTAAGTTGATAGATCTGAACATTTGCAACACCGGCTAATAGGTACACCTCGAGTATCGTACCGAGTACGCCTACAGAAAATCCGAGCCGATAACTCATTATTCCGGTCATCTACTCCGCACAACTGTGCACATCTATTCACCTATGCAGCTGATTCATGCGATCCAAAAGGAATGCACACTAGAGAAGCTATACCGATAGACCGACTGAGCTGGATCAAACGGTATGCTGAGTTAGCAGTGGGTGAAGACAGGCAGTCGGGCTTTGGAAAACTGAGCTCGCCAACCGGACGTTCGACAAAAAACGATAAACATTATGTATTTTTGTAGGAAATTTTAGGGTCTTTCGGGATAACCCAGGTGTGGTCTGTTAACCTCACAATGATTGACACTCACCGTTGATAGTAGTTGACTGAAACGTTTGCCTCAGATGGCTGAACAACGGTGACCACCTACCCAGTTCCTTCAAGTACTCAATAAGATGACCTCGCAAAAGAAGAAAGCATCGTTTGCACATTGAGTTGATTTTCAGTAGAGACTCAACTAAAGATCTCGTTTATGGTATTCTGCAACTGAATATTCTGCACCAAGGCTGCCTCCTATTTCAGTTGGCACGATTTTCGAAATGTCGTAGTATATCTTCATAAAGGAAACTACTTACAATGCTGCTGAAACCTCTTCGGCACCCCAAGGTTTCCCCTTTTCGCGGCTTAACAGGTTGGCGTCCCGAAAAGGGTGAAACCGGTCGTGAGCTGTTGAAGAGTTTTCAGCAACCTTGTGAGTAGTTCCTTTATGGGAACAACCAAGCAATTATCTAGGATAGAGATTACTGGATGAATGGGTCAAGACAGAACTCCATATGAAGCGAACCACAGAGCGTGGATGTTTGAATATGATTGACAATATACTGTCTCACATTCAAATGCCATCCCATAAGATTATGTACTCGAGTTTTCGACTCTCCTCCCTTCTGCTGAGAGGCTTCGATGATTTCCACGTTTGTTATGACACACGAGTGGTAGTCAGATATCGGTGTGCCTATTCACTTCCTTTCGTCAGTTTGGAAATCAAAAGAACTGACTAGTTTTTATCTCGGAAGATCACACGGGAAAAATTGTTGCTGCATTACTTGGTGAAAAGCTAGTTTATAATGCTCATTCAAGTGAGGTGAAATCCTTTTTAAATTTTATCACCAAAAGTCGAGGTTTTCTTGTCAATGTCCCTAATGTCACCTTTTGCGTAAAAGAAACAATGATGTGAGGTCAAAAAATAAGGTGTTTTCAGGTTTTCGGGATTATGGTTGCCCTGATTTGAGGATGCGTTTCTCTGTATTTTTCCTGCTCAATTTTGTATTTGAACTGTATATGGAGATGACAATTTAAAATCGAGCTGGCCGCCGACCTGTTCCATCTTTGTGATTAGCCCTCCCAGAGGAAAGAATATTGTTCGTTAGCCGTATCTCCTCCTAATTTCAATCGGCGTCCAACCCCATCCTCTGAGTTTTGTCTGACCACTGAATCCACTTGACCTCATGATAATTCCTCGATTCACTTGCTTACTCCATATACTTTTGCCAACCACTTGTTTTGCTCATCCGTATCCGCCGTTCACCTTGCTGCAAGCGCCGTCCAATCCGATACTGTTATGTGCGTGTGCGCACACCTGACCTACTTGCCCACCAGCGTTCGTGTCCCGATCGCTGAGCCTGCCCTGACTTGATCGCACCGCCAATCGGTTTCGCGAGACCGGCCTCGTAGGGGACAACAATGACGCGCCGAAATTTTTCTCACCGTTGATTGTTATGAGGACATTGACAGTGGTAGATTTGCGCACCTTTTGTGGCGATAGTACCATGGATCCTCCAACCGAATTCTTCCTTTTGATTTCCGGGATAGTCAAACCTACACGTGACAAAGTTCCATATTGGGAACATCGACATTCGCTGTGAAAATTAAACAAGCTGGCAGTGCTTATGACCGCTGATTAACCCAGTTTTTGTTCAGGCATCGCACGCTCCCCTGTCGACTGGAAACACCCTCAGGTGCTACAACCCAATCCGACATTTTTCGCTCCGAACTCATTTATTCCATTGATGTCATTCATTTCCAATACTTGTCTGTTCACGTTGCGACAACAGACAGGATTAGCTCTGAGGAAGAATAATTCTTTCGACGAATGAACCTTCCACTTGAGAAGTTGCCACCTAGGGAGCTAGTCTATAGATGGCAAACTGATGTGGTTTTCGTTTTTGAAGGATAAGAGGTGCTGTGTCTTTAGCTAAATACACTCATTTGCAAAATAATTTGGTTCCGCGAGAGACTTACCTGGAACCCAGCTGAATCTCTCGTTCCATGCAAGTGAATGTGCTGCACCAGTCCACCTCACGTTTCAGTTGCTAAGATATTCAAGATATTACGATACATGTTGCACTACTCATAACGTTGCTGAAAATTCTTCGACAGTGACCTGTTGGAGGTGCTATGTCCTGTCTACATGAGAGCTAATCACATTGCTGATCAGCCACTCATGGCCAAACGGTTAGGTGTTCAATCACTGGCAAGAATGTAGCGGGTTCGAAGCTGAATTCCGTGAGATGCGCACTGTTTATAACCCCATAAGTGGTGAAACAGCTGTACACTGCTTCTCGGGGCTTCCGGTACAAGACGAAATGTTCACTGAAACTCCTCAAATCTCCTCACATTACCAACAAAAAAGAAGCATCCACGCCCCCAAAAGCTAATAACTGTGCTATGGAATCCGAAGAGAGTGACAACGGTCATCTTATCTAAGCCCTTTTTGAGTTTTTTAAGGATCCAGGTCTGGTGTAGAATACATTTTTGACACCTTTGTCCAACCAGAAATACATAGGAAACAATCGACGAGATGTAGGCAGTCTCATTTAAGATAAGATTTAGTGATCAAGGGCCATTTCGTACTTGACCAAAAACTAACACACAGTACAGAATATACGTATCCTATTATGACGGATGCTTACACCAATGGATTCTTCAATGCCTAAGAACTTCGCTGAGACAACTTTCTGATACTCTGTAGATAGGCATGAAAGTTTTGACAGATACACTCATTTGCATATCAATTTGGTTTTCACGGGAGACTCAACTGAATCGCTATTTTACGATATTCCTTAACTGAATGTGCCGCAACAAAGCTGTATCATATTTTAGTTTGTACGATATTCGAGATATCGTAATGGATTTTCGTAAAAGAAACTACTCAAACGCCTTATGAGTGGTCTCCTCTACGAGGGTATAAAAATATGGTATTATTAGGTTCCCCGATTCCAGCAGACGACCGTGTTCTAGATCTAACGGTGCCGCAATACTTGAAAACATAAATCGAAGTATGCTGAAAACTTTGCCGTGGGTAGATTTATCATAATCCCGTAATGTACTAAACTGCATGATATATATATATATATCCTCTCACTATCCATTTAAAGGGGCAAACGATTCGCCGAATATCAGTCAGAATGCTCTCTCGTCTTGAGTATTCCTAACGTTGACCATCAATCGTTCTTTGAAGCTGGCGGATCACGTTCGAGTTACTCGGACACACAATACTTGTCGAATACACTCATTCGCATACCACTTTGTTTTTAACAGTGGATTCACCCGGAACCCAGCTGAATTCGTCCCAAGAAGGACAAAATCGGTTGTAGACTTTCGAAGGGTTTTCAGCAACCTTATCAGTAGTGCTCTTTGTAGACTATTTATCGTTTTCCATTAAACGCCTAGTTTTATTGCCTATGTGTGCTATAAATTTGTCGGTCTGTAGGCGATCAGATATATGAGTGCCTAACATACCTTATTATTGTTTAAACTGTCCTGAATGCCTACGCGTGATTAACTCCACCGGAAACGGTGTACACGATTTGGTGGCGCAATCCATCAACCAGAGAAGATAAGGTCAAACGGCAGTAAGACAGCTGGCTGACCAAATGGACTTACCAAATAAAAAGGTTGGTAGTGATTGGGTGAGTGTTTAATATGCATCACTTGGTAACAACCGTAAGGGGGCGGTAAACCGTCCGGAATCTGTGTTCTTTCTTAAGAGATGATTTTACCACTAACAAAATCATTATACCTCGCAATGGGGACTTTTCATGCGCGTAGACATGGGGCAAACGAAAAGTTAAATTACTCATAAGGTTGCTGAAAATGCGGCGACAGCCCACGACCGGTTTCGCCCTTTTTGGGGCTCATCAGGTAGGTGCAGTCCCCGAGTTTCCGTCAACCATATATTCTACTTGAAACCGAATTGCACGAAATTAGCGAACTACACTCATTTGCAAACTAACTCGGCTTTTCGAGAGACTCACCTGGAACCCAGCTGAATCTCTCGTTTGTGACGTTCTCGGCAACTGAATGTGCTGCACCAGGCCGCCTCATGTTTCAGTCGCTACGATATTCGAGATATCCCGATACATGTATATGCGTAATGCGTTACCCATAAGAACTGCGCCTACCTGATGAGCCCCAAGAAGGGCGAAATCGGTTGTGGGCTGTTGACGAATTTTCAGCAGCCTTTTGAGTAGTGCATTACAAATATACATGTATCGCGATATCTCGAATATCATAGCGGCTGGAACATGAAGCGGCCTAATGCATCACATTCAGTTGCCTGGAAACATCACAAACGAAAGATTCAGCTGGGTTCCAGGTGAGTCTCCCGCAAAACCAGATTAGTGTCTCACGAGATGAAACACATTTTGCAAGGATAGAAAAATTGCTTGCAAATTTTGCTGGTCAACAGTACCCTAACATCCTTTAAGAATTTTGAAAAACAGCACGCTTAAGTGTCTAACTTAAGTGGCCGCGTCCCTGTGACACTGATCTTCCGAAGATGGCGACTTAACTAGGGTCTAAATGAAATTGAGTGAAATTTTGTGAACTATTCAGGTAGTCTGAATTGCAAATAACCAGACTTTCACCCGTGCTTATGATCGACCCCGGCCGGCGCACCAGCTCCTCCACACTCAACTGGCCAGTTGCTCGCGCCAACCACAACTGGGCACCAAGCGCCGGCTGCACACCTTCGACGAAATGGTCCAACAGCAACTGGTGGCGCGACACTCCATCCATCCCCAGCAAAGCGCGATCCAACAACTGCTGCATGCCGGCGAAGAACACGGTCGGGTCAGATCCAGGCGCCTTCCTGGCCGTCTTGAACCGCCTCATAGCCTCGTGGCGGTCGGCCGGCATGTCGAACTCCGCAGCGAAGGCTTTCTTCCTCTATCTGACTATGAACTTGAAATTTGATGCTATCACGCAAGGTGTGGTCAGCTTTGAAAAATCGGTGCTGTATGGGATATCCCCCATTCTATTAGGTCTTCCCCATAGATGTAGAATCTTTCAACTGATTCCATCGCATTTTTAATTCTAGTTTTTTGCTGGGGAAAAGCCTCAGTAGGTTTTGAGTGCATTGCAGGAGCTATTTCGTCATTATTCGACATTCAGTCTGAAAAACAAGAAAAAACACCGACAACGAGAAGCACCCACATTACATTTGTATCACCTCGGACATTGTTCTTTGAAATTTTAGGGTCAAGTAAAAAGTTAGGAGCAAACTTTATGCACCAGGGTAAACAGTCAACATTTGGTCAAACTGAGAGATTAGGCAATCGAAGCATGTCCTATGAAAGGAAGCTAAATTTAGCTTACTTTTCACCTTTGTTAAACTATGACAGTGATAAATCGGCTCGTCTTTGTTTTAAGGAAAGTTTTTTTTCTGAAAACGTTCACCACCCAATAATCCAGATGAATTAGAATTGCTCAAAAAGTGCACATAACATATATGGCAGGCCCAACGGTGACCTTAGTCGAGTTCATCAAAAGCAGTGTTTGACAGGGGAGCCACATTTATTTATATCTCTTCACCCTTTAGGTGATCGAGCTCATCGTATTTGAAAACAGCCCGGAATTCAGTCTGGTAAGAATGGTTCAAGTGAACTGTTCAGCTGTGAAAATACATGGTTCCTGAAAAAAGTTCTTGCGTCATCCGTATCCTTTCTTTTCCAGACGACGGTGTCCGAATTCATGTTGTCAAAATATCTCGGTTATTTATAGCAGAGGCATCTTTTCTGTGAAGTTTCAAATTACAACATAAGCCTTTGTGTTGATCAGTTTCAGCTTGTCCTACTACACTTTCGATATGTGAACTAGATTTGGTCTGGTTTTCTGTAGATATCGAAAGGACCTGTATAAGAAACTTCAGCAGAGTCTGAACTGCACTTTTTTACGCGTTAAAAGTAGCAAACAGTCACTTCCCATCAAGGAACGTTTTCTTAGTTCTATAAAATTGTACTTCACTGTTTTTGTGATCATATGTCTTCTCCAGCCGATGGTGAAAAAGAAAAAATCTACGAATTAGGCTCAGGTTAGAAAAGGTACCTGCTCAGGAAACCTCTGAACGTGGTAATCACAGAGATCGAGGTTTTAGCGTAATTTTTTATACTTCCATAACTGTACGACATAATCAGTGAAGTCGTCAGTAACTCTAGCTTCATTCTTCCTTCGAGTGTCAAATAGCTTCGTTTCAACCTGACCATCTTATAGTGGTGTAAATATTCAAGCCTAAAAATTAACGGTTAGGATCACTATTACGCGGTCAAAGTTTGCAGTCCTTAAATAAACCGGGGAGCAGTATTTACTGGTTTAACGAGGATCCTCATACCATTATCGATTCCACAATATTTTACACATCTCAATCGATCCAACAATGCTTTCGATCACGAATCGAACTGATGGTATCCTATGGGTTGGAAAGCCCAGAAGCATCTGCATTTGTAGTTAAAGGCAGCTCAACTACAAGTGGATTTATGGAATTTCATCGTTTCTTGTAAATCCATTCATTAATTCCGGTTAGTTAGCTTCTGCCATGACGACACAGTGGGAAAGTTTTAACTATTCCTTCATGTATACTACAAATGGAAATAGTTCAATCTAATGAATATAATTTCTCATATGGAAGGATACTGTAGTTTGTCTATATACAGAGAGTCCAGACCGACCATATATAAAGTTTTGTATCTTAGCTTTGGCTTTACTCTCTTCACCTAAGGGATGACCAGTCTTCCTGGATGTCTCAAATCGTGGTTGCCTTTTTCATTGGTCAGCGGTGAGGCTTTCACAAATTTCTATCCAACTTTAACTCCAGGGGATTTAGCCTATATAGCCTTCATACCCAGATTTCAGCATCTGAATATTCAGTGTTATCGCCTTGATGATTCCACCAGCTTCGCGTGGTTTGGCAGTAGAAATGTGACTCTAATTACATAGGTACGTAGATAGCGAAGAACATTACCAAACTGTCACATTTCACATTCTGTGAGCTGTTCTAGTCGAATGTTGCGAAGACACCAGGAATAGACTTCTTTGTTGTCATTGATTCCTCAATCTCTGACCTAAACGATCATCTATTCTTAAGTACTGACAAACCCCTCAAAAATTTTGTGACTCACGAGTACCTGCTTCACAGGAGCCTGTTTTAAACGAATGTAACTTTCCGGGTTGCTTTTGGGCGATAAAATTGGGACCTTTACTTTATTTATTCAGGGTGAAGCAATTTTTAAGCCTTAGTGATAGCATTTAACCTTTTATTTGGGAGCGGTACTGATAGGGAGGATGGAAGTTCCCTCTGTTACTGGAAAATTCTAGAGGAGAAAAAAAACGGAATGCATTAGGAAGCACTACCGTTGGATCCGTTGACCGTTTTTTAGGTTCAGGAGAATGTCGCTCCTGGGAAGGACTGTTGCATGGAACAGCTTATATTTATATCCCTTCAACCATTCAGTTTCTTTCAAAACCCCAATTCGTAGACAAGTTTTGACGTCCGTGTCACCAGCAGTATATTTTTCCCCGGGAGAAGGAGTGTATTTGCAACAACCTGTCTGTAGGAAGGATAAATGCTCTGACATAATGCACATCGCGCCTGGTTGAATGGAGTCGAAATATTCTGGAAGAATCGTTCGACGACAAATGATGCCAATTGCCTATTGCTTGCCTTTTTTCTAATTGTTTCCTATCTGCAGCTAGCTAGAAGGTCTGAAAAGTTCACAATTCAGCTGCGTCTTCAAATTAATCTGATCATACTGCCTAAAGAGACAGAAATGCTTACTCAAAAGACAATCAGGATGCTTCTGAAAACTTGCTGCTAGCTTGCCAACTTCAGTAGTGGTGTCAAAGATTGACAGGAGATTTCAGGAAAAAAATATTCAAATGCACGTATTTGGAGCTCTTTAAAACAAATCTCACTATAACTCGTCTCTTGTCTCCTTCGCTGGCATACTTAACTGAACTCGTCAGGGTGTTACGGCTGATTAATTGAGTGAGTTGATGGTCATCCATGTAAATGCGAATGCGAGTGCAGACTTTCCGTGAAATTATGCTCAGCTTTACTATCTGTCTGAAGTCAAAGAGTATTTTCACAATCGGCTGCAACTCAGTGACTGTATTTGAATGATCTGTTTGCAATACAGTGCTTACCCTCTTCACCCTGACCAAAGTGACAAAGTGCCCACATATGTATCCATCGGTGTGTTGTCTACCAGTTCATAGGTCGCATTCGAAACATTTGCGATCGACAAATGCTTGAAATGGAACAGCGGAACAAAACTCTTAATTCTGATTTCAGTGTTCGCATTAGTGAACGGAGCCGGATGTTGTGGATTCATCAAGCTCATTAAGGTGTTCAGCTAATGTAGTGAAATCCCTCATTCATGAACGCCCTAAATGCTGCAAAATTCGGTCGAAAAGAGCATGCATCTCCCTCAACCTGGAGTTAACTGAGCAAAAAAGGACACAACAAGCGTTCTGTAAGACGTTTATGGTTTTTATTGCACACAGTAGATTAAGAATCCATTTGGGGACTGGGATTTAGCGTGCCGCAAGAGCTAACCTTCATCGCAAAATTGGTAGGTTCATGTTTGTTGACGCGATCAAGCAGCTGACTACAACCGCATAGCAAAGGTTTCCATCTGATATCGTCCCGTTAATTGACGGCCACCCATATCGGGATGAAATAAGAAAACCGATAATCACGTCAAAGCCAGCAAACTAGATAATGATATCAAAACCGCCACCACTGAAAATATGTCGGCCCTGTATTCCCATGATATATATTTGGATTTAACATATATTTATACCGAAGAGGATGGGTTTCCGTTGATGTTCTCACAAAACCGTTAGCTCCCTTACCTTGACAAAAGATAGATAATTTGACAGAAAAAACAAACAGTAGTAGTTCGATCATACACATGGAATAAAAATGATGACTTAGATGTTGCCGGAACAAGAGCAGTCTTATCTTTGTACGTACTACTCATAGGGTTGCTGAAAATCCGTCGACAGCCTACGACCGGTTTCGCCCTTTTAGGGGCCATCAGGTAGGCGCAGTCCCCGGGTTTCCGTCAACCTTATGTTCTACTTGAAACCAAAGTGCACGGAATCAGCGAATATACACTCATTTACAAATTAATTTGGTTTTTCGAGTACTCTTAATTCAACTTGCCCTCTCCAATTTGCCCACACGTAATCTGCGTTTGCATAGTGTAAAATTTCTCTCGATTCGAGTGGGGCACGCAAACGAGAACAATTGTCTCTGTCACGTAAGGAGAAGCATGGAGGGCACAGAAATCTCTGATTCACTTGATACTGCTTCACTCAAATTTGTACAGCAAATTGATTTCTTTCTTATCAGGCCCGTACTTAGGTAAACTGAACGGAGTTGCAAATGGAATGAATCGCTTACTCGAAAACGTCACTAAATCCATTCCTGCCTGCTGGACGGTTCCGATTTTTTCAGCCTTGATACAACTTCGATTTTCCTAGACGCACGCCCACACTATACCCTTCTTCCAAATGTTTTGAACTTACGTTGATTCGGCTACATTGTGGTCGGCACGTGCACATACTCCTTTACCCCACAATGTTGTACATTTCAAAGTAACTAATCAGTAACAAACTACATTTGATGTTTTACAATGTTTGAGACAATAGTCCCCTAGTTTCTGTGGACTAGTCGATTTGTGACGCGTCCTCAGTTTCAGACGGCAGATTAATCTGAACACCCCACAAACACCAAGGCCAAATTATGAATACAACATTTACTTAATTTTTTGCGCATGGTTTTTTTAATTAACCGTTTTCAGTAAACTGATCTTTTTTTACCGTTTTTTAATCATCTCTGACGCATTTCTTGCATGTATGTAGGAATGACCTTCTTTACGGGTCATGTTTTAGTAAACTTCACTAATTATTTTATCGTATACTCTGTGCGTATATGGGGAATCCTTTGTGAGTTATTTAGCCATAATTCATTATCATCATCAGAAGATTTTTGGGTTTTTTTTACCATTCTTTTGACAGTTGTCTGACATCAGCCTTTTGGCATCAGTTTGTTGAAAATAAACTGAGTTGGGACTTACATCCATATCTTTGTCACGTGAACTGATCCTCTTCCAGTGCACTTATTCCGCTCAGTCTGTTGCGAAAAGGGTGCTCTAGACAGCAGCTTCAATTTTATGAGTTAGCTCTTCAGTGCATATCTTTTGTCGTACCAAGATTGGAACCATGATTGAAGTGAACGCTTTACTACCGCCGCATCTGCGCATGCCGAGATTTAGTTGGGGACTGTTTAGTCTTCTTCCCCAGTAGATGGCAGGCCAAACCAGACAGAGTAATAGATAACTATTCGAAGTAGACCATAATTTTGAATAGTTTTAAATATTATTGAAGTGCGTATTAAGGAAAGAAAGCAGTCGGATAAAAAGATATTTGAATACAGAGAGTTCTGGGAACACTTTTCAGTCAGCGTGTTTGATCATATGGATTGAAACTGCGTACTTTAAGGAACAACATGCTATTGGCTAGTGCCTGGAAGTTCATATCAGCGAAAGATAGAAAAATATGTCCAAAATTTGTTCCCAATCGGTTTAGGCCTGTAGTTTTAGTACGTCGAGTTAAAGCGTATCAACTTTGAAGCTACCATTTTCAACTGTTTTTGACTCAAGTGAAATCCCTTCATGTGAGTATTTGACAAAGAATTGAACTCATCGAAAATAAATATTGACTTTTCGCTTGGTCGAGGGAGAGAACTTTGAACCAGTGTGCCGAAATTTCGAACCTTACTAAATGAAACGTTTCACCTGGTCGTTTTTTAGAAGTAATCCCGAATTTGAACTTTTTCGCGACCAGCTGAGATGAAGGACTCTATTCTTTCAGGATATCCGTGCTTACAATTTACTTTGATCTATCTACTGTAGGAGTGAAGTTGAAAGGGTTCGTCTTTGGGTTAATAGAGATGGTTTTCAGTTCTATTCGCCCTCAGTACCGTGATACACAAATGCCATTAGTTTATCCTAGGTATATCGCTATATCGCAAATTTTCCAAAATACTCAGCAAGGTGTTGACGTCAAGGAGTTTGATGGATTCTGTAAGCTGATGATGACCGTTCAGTACACACGTTTGAAAAGCAATTTGTACACGGACAGATGTCCCGTAAAACTATCATTTATTTGTGTTTGACATATTCACGCGTAATGGGCGAGTAATCTGTTCCCTGCTGGGATATGAGAAAATTGCTGGACACCTTGAAGTAATCACATGCCATGTATCTCACTCTGTGCCATAGATTTCTATAGCTTTCATGGAATATATTCAAGAACTATTTGGGTGCGCGTCATTTAGTTGATGGGCGAGATGACCCAGTGTTTAGAGCGCTAATTTACTGACCGGAATGTACGTTGTTCAAACCCGAAATCCGTCACCCGACTTCCCTCTAGGCTTGGGTAACTTGGCAGTATCGGAGCCCTAGTATACTTCCTTCGGATAGCATGTCAGCTAGGCACCAAGTGGGTGTTACAGCTGAAAGCTTTCGATTTTTTCTCACATAATCGATGAAAACTCTACGATAGTCAACTGATTATTTTGCCTTTTTGGGGAAGGTTGGGTCTTATTCCGCAAAAGAACACCTCATTGTGCATATGCATGATTTTAATTACAAACCCGGGCATTTGTTTTTCAAACAGCAGATTCTCCAATAAGCGATTCTAGGTTTATTTGACAAAAATTTGCAAGTTGCCTATCGCAGAGGCCAACGTAAAGCGTGATCAGTTTGGGGACTGTGATTTCGAGACATTAAGGTGACACCAGATAATCCTAGCAAGCGATGAAAGTTTCACACATCCAACTGATTGATCAGAGTATTGGAAGAGAAACGGAATCAGAACGGAGTTCTTTTTTTACTGCCTTTATCACTTATTCTTCATAGTTTTCCAATCAAAGTCACGTCAACTGTAATTCGACCAGCTGTTGATTTGGCTACGCAGTTTTACTTCAGGAAAATTCTAAATGATTATCGATACATAAAGACACATGATAATTACTTTAAAACGTGTGGCCAGTTCCAGAACGGACTAGTTATACGAGGATTCTTATCTTAATTGCAGGTAATCCAGTAGTGGCATAAGGGTTGTTCAGATGGTCTTCAATCATGGTTTTACTTGGGACTTCCTGATGAAAAGTCTTGTACTTTGTCAGCAAACACCGATGGTTTCCTTCAGTTATTTCTGTAAGTAAATTGTCAGCCTGATGCACATTACGTTCCTTGATAGTGGAAGAGAGGCCCTCAAGGACGTGAAGCAAAATAGCCACGAAACAAATCGACAAAATCGATAGATCGACAAAGCGTTTCAGCTATCTCATCAAGAAGTACCTGGATACTGTGGCCACTGGGAATTTTTAGAACGCATCGGCAGTTAACACCGTATGATTCCGAAGCGATTTGAACAACTAGAATTTAGGACGCAAGACCAACACCGTATGTCCCAGCCACGCTTGGGTATTTAAGGCCTGACCACTTTGTAATCGTGTTCAAATGTGCACCAACTCGATGGCTCTGGTCGCTATGCTTGTAACCTGGTGCTAAAAACACAAATCTCTTGGTGAACGGCCTCATAGTTTCACGGAATTAGCTCTTCTGATCCGGAAAGTTTGATGTTGCCTGATAATCACTGCGATGATTTTGGAGTTTTGACATTGATATTTTGTGCAACACATTATATCTTATGTTGAATTCCTGAATGATCTCGTGTTGTTGATAAGCAGGAGAAGTGAATGAGTGACCGAATGCCGGTAGCTCTCCTAGGTAAAGTCCGATTCCATAGACCTGGTCTACACCGAATCTAGTTATTTCTGATGGGTTGGTTTCCAGCGCGATCGTGAATGACACCGTTGTCATCAACTTTGCACCTGGCATTTGGAGGTATCGCAGCTGCATTCCCGAAAATAACGTGTCCAGAAGGTGCTACCATACATGTACCTACCAGCTCCTGTGAATATACCCATAAATAAATTTATAGTAAACTGTGCTGTATACTGCACCAGTACCATCTGTTTATCCATGATGACCAAATGGTTCGACCTGGGCAGCCCATAGAACATAGGATTTCATGGTACGCTGGGAACATGCGGTATTATACAGAAACGTGAGGGAAATGTTTTGTCTGTCACCTCACCAAATGGGACGTAAATGGACACGTGACGAAGCTCAAAAACCCAGTACCCAGTACTATGCAATGTGGTCAACGATTCCACATTCGACCCAGTACTATGCAATGTGGTCAACGATTCGGCAAGATTGTTCGGGATCTCAGCTTCCCGATCCGAGTCCATGGTGTATACGTTAACACCAAGGATGAGCTGGTGGCTGCTTGGAGTGATAGTCTGCACAACAGTGTGGACAGTCGCGGTTTACGAGAGTTGGTCGCTTTGCCTCCTTCCAAACGCTGAATTGTATTTCCAGAACGAGTGTTTCTCCGGGTATTCATCCGCAGTAGCCAGCTTCAATGCAACCTGCTCAGGACGAGAGTTAGGAGCGCTCGGCATGGTCACGGTGGCCAGACGATCTTGTGTCGTGGAAACTGTGGTCATTCGGAGAGTTGGTAAAAATTTTACAGTCCTGCTGGATCGTACATGATGCCAGATGTGTTTGACATAATCGTGTTGCCAAGGAACTCGAAAAACGCCTCCGTCGACTATGATATACCGTCTCCGAGGAGTTGAGAGCACCCACTTTGACGTCCTTCATCAAACCAGACCTAATCGCTATTCGGGAGCGCACAGCAACTGTGATAGAAGTCAGAAGCATAGTCTCAGGTGGGCGCGGAGTGACCTGTGGATTTAGAAGCAGACGTATGGTGCTGATGAATATTCCCTTACCATAATATTAGCCCTATATGTGAAATCGTTTGTAATATCAACTTTTGGATCCACAAACCGATGAACATCTCTTATCCAGGGATCTGCTTTTCTCAAGGCTGTTATTAAACTGGGCCTTCCTAAGGCCAACGCCATTGTAAGTTCCCGGCGTATTTACGACATTTG